TGATGATGATGATGATGATGATGATGATGATGATGATGATGATGATGATGTCCCTACAAACCAAAGCTCTAGCTTGTCTAGCAAGCCATGGCTAAAATGAGCATTGGTTTATGTTATACAATATAAGGCACACATTTCCCCATGTAATATAATTTCTTTGTGCATCTTTTGTTGATTACTTTTCTTTCCTTTCTGTCTCAGCGATTTAGAACTGATTTTGCTGAAGGAAAAATCACAGGAAGGGCAAGTATTTTTTTGTGTTTTGAATAAGAAAATATTAGTTAATTACTTGCTTAGATTTCCTTTCATGCTGAAATTCTCATAGATAGATTAAATTAGATTACAATATAAGTATGGTAAGGATAAATTAGCGTTCTGGAAGTAGCAGAAGAAGAGGGGCCTTCTTCTAAGCAATGTTTTTCAAACATGGCATCTTTAAGTTGTATGGACTTCAACTCTCAGAATTATCCAACAGTTAGGAGTTGAAGTCCACAGGCTTAAATTTGATAGGTTTGAAACACTCACTGAGGTAGAAGAACATATGTCACTTGAAAACAATCTCTGTCTTGAAGGCAATATCTCAGGGAAAGATAAGCACAAATCTGATCTCAACTACTGACCACAAAAGAAGTAGCAGTAGAATTTTCATTTTCTCTTCCTTCCTGTCAGCTATTACTCTACTCTGATAGTTGCCATGTGATTGCGTTGTTCTGCAAAAGGTGGGAAAAAATCCAAATATTGTTGTATCTGAGGAAGTAATTTAGCTTTAGTGTGTTTTAGACTGTATTTTAGAATTTTTAATCAAAAGATGGGTTGTAATTATATTTTGAGTTTTCAGTGCATTGAAGCCAATTTATTTGAAGCATATTTTTGAAGCGTATTTTTTCACTGTGTGAAACATTTTGTTATGCAACATTCTCCAGCGCGCTGCTTGGAGAATCCAAAAACATGGGTTATTCTTGGTCTGTTAGCCAGAGACTGAGTGAATATATCTTTAAATCTTGTTGACTCCGCCTCCACCGACGGGCTGAGGTTCAGTTTTCTTCCCTCAGTCAGGCTACAGAGACTGATTTGGATTTCCTCTGCTAGAAATTTGACAGAAATTCCACTCACGACTTTGGATTCTTCAACATCCCTTGACTTTTATTTCCTTTCTCATTGGAGCTGTATCGTATTGTAATTGAGGAGTTTGGACTGTTCGATCGATCCTCCTCCGCTGCTGGCGGTCGGTGACTCGTTCCTGGGGCTCCAGGCCGGCTCCCACCGCTCGTTCCTTCAAAGGCAGTGCTGCGGAGCTCTGTCCCTTTGGACATCTCCACTTGCTTACAAATCTGCCGCTGGTGTGTGCACTGGTTCCCCGGCTTGCCGGCACAACCGCCGCTTATTCAGCTCCACGGACTCGCAGGGCAGCTTCAGAGTCACTGCCCGGGTCTGCCACGGCACACTCTAAGTATCATGTTGGCTTTGTTGCGCTTTGACCGCTATTTAGCGTTTGTGTGCTTTTGACTCGCTGACGGGACTGCGGAGGCCCTGGAGGGCCTTTCCTGCTCTCGCGCCATTTTGTTTATCAATGGCTAACCGTGAAGGCGCTGAGGGACAATTTCTACTCACGTTATCATTGTTGCAGCTCGAGTTGCTGGGACACGGAGGAGCCGCCAAGCTCTTGTGTCCTTCTCCAGGAACATTTAGCGAAGCAGAGCCAGGGGCACGGATTCTTTCCTCCGCCCGTCATTAACTGAGGACTGGATCAGCCATTTCATCACTGACTGTCATTTGCAGTTATCATCTCTGAGCGCTCTAGGGATGCTTTGCTGTTAGCGTCAGAGTCTTCTAGCTGAATTGATCCAAGTGGAAACATTTTTGACTGTGAGTTCTGATTTCATCAAAATACAATACCAATACCATACCATACCATACCATACCATACCATACCATACCATACCATACCATACCATACCATACCATACCATACCATAAAGATTTAACTTACAATTAAATATTCATGGCTGATTCCGAGCTTTCCTCAGATCTTGAGCACACCTACAGTCCCCTGAGGGTTCAAAAGCACGCCAAGTCTGCGCACAAAGGAACCAAGAAGGGCACCAAACATGCTCCTGCCATTGACAAGCCACTTCTTCCCAGGGTTCCGTGTGTTCCTCGGCGGATGCCAAGAATACTAGGAGACATTGAGCCTTAGAAAGGCAGTTTGCCTTGGCTCGCAAGAAGTCCAGTAATTCTGGTCATCAGGAGGCCTCTACAGTTTCCACGGCTGTTCCAGATACTGATCTGAGCCCCCACCCTCTGCCAACATCTGCACAGGGTGCATCCTCTCCTGTTGCTCTCCTCTAGTCTACAGGTAATGGGGGACCACATCCCTCTCAGCCTTCCTTATCTACAGGACCTGGAGTGATGGGTCAAAACCAACCTCCGTCGCTATCTTCTGCCCCGACAGCAACCTTTACCCCCACAGCCGCGGGGCTCCGTGCTGGGAAAGGATTGCATCCGACTCTGTCCTATAACATTCAGGCCTTAGTGTCTGAGACAATTTCCAAGATCCTATCAACTGGACATCACCAAGGCATCCAGTTTCCCTCTGTACCAATGGCCTCCCAGACTCTCGCCCAACCGTCTGGCGGGTTTGAACATGATGGATCTTCTCAGCAGGAGTCAATCCATAGCGAGGATTCCTTGCTAGATGATGACGACCGTGAGGCCATGGAATTTTCCGATGACGAAGGCCTGGAGCCTGACAGACCGTTATTTACCAGCCTCTTCCGTACTTCTCTCTTTAAGTCCTTATTACATAAGGCTAAAGTCACCACTTGTTTGGCTGAGTCCGAAAGTCAACCTGATTGACAGGAGTCGTCTAATCCCCATGACGTCTTGTTTACAGTTCCCAAGACGGAGCAGGAGTTTATTCCCTGTCCTCAACTTTTCTCAGAAGTGATTCAACAGCCATGGAGCTTGCCCGGTTCACTAGCGGCACCTAATGGCCACGATAAAAAGTTATATTACTCTGCTCCAAGTCTTCAAGGTTTGCTTCAGTTACCGTCAGTTGATGTGCCTGTGGCCAGCCTAACCTCCTCGACTATCCTGACCAATGATATCGCAGATGGCTTGCGGACGGAGGACCGTAAAGCTGAGCTCACCTTCCACAAGACCCACCAAGCAGCAGCATGGGCTATTAGGGCTGCTACTTCAGCATCATTCTTTAATCGAGCATCATTGATTTGGCTGCGTCAACTTCAAGAACGCCTCCCCCAAGATGACACGAGGCTACAACAAGATATCAACAAACTAGTGGCAGCCACCAAATATTCTGCTGATGCAGAATTTGGTTATGTCACTGGAGGGCAGACATGAAATCCAAGTGGCACCTTTCATTGGCACCATACAAGGGTTCCACCCTTTTCGAGGATGCCTTGGACCTTATATTGGTGGAGACAAAGATAAATGAAAAATTATGCCATCTTCTTACAGACGGGCTGATCGCAGGCATACTCCATACATGCCTTTCAGACTGAGCCTGGACCCAGCGGGTCCCAGACCTACAGACCTTGCTCCCAGGGGTTCGACCGGCCATCTGACAGGTCCTTCTCTAGAGATTGGGGTAGACACCAGCCCCAGACCAAGGGACCATTTAGAGGGTCAGGCACTTGGCCCTTCAGGCAGGGCAAGTGACTGCCAACCCACCTACTCCATCGGCGGCCGCTTCCATCACTTCCTTCACCAATGGGAGCTGTCCACAACAGACGCATGGATCCTACAATCACTGAGGCTGGGCCTCACCTTGGAATTCTCCTCCAGCACTCCCAACCATTACATCCAGTGCCCGGTTTCAGCCAACCTGGACAAAAGAAGCTTAATGGACGCAGAAATCCAGCACCTCCTGGATATTTGCGCCATAGAGCCGGTCCCCATGGAATATCATGGGACAGGTTTCTACTCCATCTTTTTCCTCGTTCCCAAAAGTTCGGGGGGCTGGAGGGGGATCTTGGATCTAAAGGAACTAAACAAGCTTGTTGTGCATCACCAATTCAAAATGCAATCCCTCAAGTCGATTTTGGGTTGCATCAGGAAGGCGGACTTCATGATGTCAATAGACCTCAAGGAGGCCTATCTTCATGTTCCAATATGGTCGTCTCATTGAAGGTTCCTGTGTTTCACCTATGCCAATCGGCTTTTTCAATACCGTGCCATGCCATTCGGCCTGTCATCGGCCCACAGGACCTTCATGAAACTTTTTTACGGCAGTTGCCGCCACCGTCCGGCAAATTCCCATCAGAGTTGTTTGCTATTTGGACAAAATTCTAATTCTGTCGCCATCTCACGAGACCTGGCCTCACAAGTTCTACGAGACCTGGTGACGGTGCGTCACACTTTACAACTCCATGGGTTTTCCCCTGAATCTGGAGAAAAGCCATCTACAACCTACCACTCGCATCCGCTATCTCGGTGCAGTGATAGACTCTGTCAGGGGAGAAGTCTTCCTGTCTTCAGATCGTCGCCTCAGAATCATGACCTTAGTATCTCAGGTCTTCTCCTCTAGATCAGTTCCCCTGCTCCTTTTGTCTCAGCTGCTCGGGAAGATGATCTTGTGCATTGCAGTAATCCCGTGGGCACTTCTCCATGCCCGACCATTACAATGGTACCTGCTCCCGTATCAGAGGTCACTTCGCAGCAGCTCCAGAGCAAAGGTGCTGCTTCCACGGTCGGTCTGCCTGTCTCTCAGTTGGTGGACTTCTATGGCCATAAGAAAGGGTTGCGTTTTCCAAGAACCACAATGCGTCACCATTATAACAGATGCGAGTCTGATGGGTTGGGGCGCTTACCTTCTCTTCAGAGTGGCTCAGGGTCGCTGGTCTCCAGTGGATCTCCAAAACAATATCAACTGGTTGGTGCTGTGGGCAGTTCATCTGGCCTTCCGACATTTCAACTCTGACGTTGCAGGCTAACATGTGCTAATCTTAACAGACAATGTGACCATGAAAGCACATGTGAACCGTGAGGGCAGACCACTCATGGACGAGGCTGCGAGGCTGCTGTCCTGGGCTGAGAGGCACATACTCTTGATCACGGCACAACACATTTCCGGCTCAACCAATATCCAGGCAGATTGGTTGAGCCGGACTCAGATAGATCAGTCGAAGTGGCGTCTCCATCCCACTCTATTCCAGGAGCTGTGGCACCGCTTTGGATGCCCGATTCTGGACCTCTTTGCACACCCCAACAACACTCAACTT